AGCACTGAAGGCAAGATTTCGTCCCTTTTTTCTTTCTGCCAACAAGCATTTTGTAGAACACATGTGACCCAAGTAAGGTAGTAGGCTTTGAAGGGACATAAAAATGAAGACCACATGCTCCCTAGTTTCCAGGTACTGCTAGGAGATCCATGAGAATACGCATGCCTACAACACAGAGCAACAGACAGTGGGTGTGCTGGGGAGACAGAAAACACAATGAACTGCTCTAGGAATTCGGAGACTGGACTCACTTCTGGGAGCTACCAAAGGCTCCAGGAAGGAGATGGTGACTGGGTAGGCCTTGTAGGAGAAGCAGGTTTCAACAATTAGATGTGGAGCCTTTCCTTGGACCGGGTCTAAATGCTTTCTGTTTTCTGAGTGCCTGGCATGTGCAATACACACAGTGGCCTCTCTAATACATCTTCTAGTGAGATGCTAGCCATTTGGAGCTAGGCTAACAATCATGGGCTTGAGTCTTGGCTCTAATCTACCACTGGACATTAATTGCATAACTCTTATGCCTTCTCTGTTTGTCTCCCAACCAAGGATGTGGCAGGGAGTGGGCATAATCTTGGTCATGGGTTTCTGGTTAGGATGGTATTAAGTTAATATATGCAAGATTATTTGTAAGTCAAAATGAAATATAAATACATGAGTGATTTCTCAGTATCTTGTTATTATTCGAACTAAGAATAACCAAGAATAACTTGTGATTTTCACTTATCCGATGACTTTTTTTGAGTAACCTCTTGGGACCAGACAGCAAGGGATACAAAGGTGAATTCTACTCAGCCTCCATGTTTGGAATCTAAAAGGTCTAGGAAAGGATGCGGTAGGCAGGTGTCATTGACAGGCTAAGACAAAGCTGGGATGGAGTCTGGCAGGAGCTCTGCTCTTTCTTAGTGGCCGTGCAGGTAGATAGTAATGTAAAAATAAGAACTTCAAATCCAGGCACCCACCAGCTGTCCCAGCACAAGGTAGGATTAAAGGAGAAAGGAGGTATTTTTAAAAAAAGTTTGAGTTTGTTCTATGTACCAGGCACTTTCACATCCATCATCCTCATAACAAACTAAGTATTCTTTAATTAATTAATTAGGCTACAGGGCATGCGCACTTGCCAGCCAGACAGAGATGGGAGTTGGGTGGGGAGTAAGAAATCACCCCCTAGGGTGATGACCTGCTTCATGCTCTTCTCCTTCATTATCCTCTTGGATTTGTGGCACACACACACACACACACACACACACACATACACACACACACACGTCTGGTGTGATAGTCAATCCTTCAGGTCCAGTACCCAAACAGCAGAGTTGGCCATGTGGGACCCAGCTGCCTTAACCTTCACCCCATCTGCTGGCCCAAGCTAGGTATTCTTATACCCATTTTATAGGTGAGACTCAGGGAGGTTGGGTAGCTTTTCAAGGCTGATGAAACTAGCAAGCATAAAACCAGAATTAGAAGCCAGGTTTTCCAGCTACAATCCTGATGCTTTTCCTGGTACTCCTATCGATTCCTCATCAGCCATAGTTTCATAGAATTCACGTCATGCAAATCTTGAAAGACTTTTTTAGTTGGATTGTTTTTCACAGAAGAAAAGTAGATCTTTGATGAGAGATTTGACAGTAAGTCTTCTATTGTCATTTCCTGTTTTACTTTCTGTGATAAACGCCTTCCCTCCCACCGCTATCTCTGACTTTGCCTTCTTCAATCTCAATGAAACTGCCAAGGAGTAAAGAATCTCAACAAGTGAAGACCCTGCAGAGAGAGCTCCCCACTCCTCAGCCACCACTCTATGAATGCTAGGGCTGAACACACGAAGAAGGAAGAAAGTCGCACAGATTTCTGTCCAAGAACACATAAAACCAAATCTGACTATGCTTTAATTTTGTGGAGCTCTGTGGAGCCACAGAATATCATCGGGTTTGCTTATTTAACAGATAAGAAAAACTCAGACCTGAGGAGGTGAAAGGATGTACCCAAGGCCGCACTCCAGTGAGAAGCAGTCTGCACTGGAACCCAACTCTCCTCCACTGAGGCCAATGGCTCTCCACTAAAATAAGTTACCTCTTTAGCTTTTCTTGTTAACAACTCACATGAGATCACAGACCCTACGGAGAGCCTGGTGTTGGTGTCTCTGCAAAGATCAGTTCGCACTAATCTAAAGAACAGGAAGTGGCTTCATTTCTAGCTTTGAAAGCACATTGTGGGGGTAAGAAAGGGGGATTTGGGGAAGAGAGTTCCTGGACGTGACGGTCAAGAGCGATCAGCACTTTACTCTTGCTCAAGGACGGGGAAGATGTAAGGTCAGACATCTAAGTGGAAGATGAGGTGGTCCTTGAGTCTTAACCAGAACATGACCTCAGCAAGAGCATCCCCAAGCCCTCGAGCAGCGGGAGGGGAGGGCGCTGCTGTGTTGCTCTCCTTCTCTGCTCCGGGGGTGGGCTGGATCCCGAGTGGGGGTTGAGGTAAGAGCACTGGAGAGGGGAAATCCGAGGAACTTTACACAACCTCCAACGCTCCCCCACGCTCTGCTAGTACCCCCAGCTTTCCTTGCCAAAGGAGGAAGGGGGAACACATTATTTGGTTTACTGCTTTATACAAATGGAAGGGTTTATCATGTAAAGCAAAGGGGGCTTGAGAGGGCAATAGAGAAATTAATACTCCGGAGCCCTCTCGTAGAGGACGGAGATGAGGATGGTGATTCTCGCAGACCCCGCCCTGGAACAGAAGATCCTGACCGTCTGGTAGATGGGTGTGAACTAAGCAAGCAAGCCCTCCCTAGGTGGGCAGCTGAGTCTGTCTCGTTAAAGACAGGGTCGTGCTGTGTTGCAGTCTTTCTGCCTTACCCTCTGAGCTGGGACAACACGCCTGGTCCTAGCCAAGTGCGGTTTCCTTCTGCTGGTGGGATCACAGCCAACCTCGGCCTAGCAGCTCGGACATCAAAGGATGCAACCCCACATCCAAGGAATGCTAGACCCGGAAAAGACTATGGGCTTTGTGTGTATCAGTGGTTCTCCAGCGTGGCAGCCCGTTGGAGTCATCTGGGGAGCTCATTACAAATGTAGATGCCCAGGAACCAACCCAGTGATTGATTAGGTAGATCTGGGCTAGAGTCCAGGAATCTTCCTTTTCAATAAGCCCGCACCTCCCTATCAAAACTTGTACACCACAGGCGATTTTACAGCAAAGAAAATGGAGGTGGCGAAAAACAGGTTAGTAGCAGCACTCGGACTGGAAGCCAGTCTCCTGCCTGCTGGCACGGTGCTTGCTAATGCCCTCCCACGTGGTCTTTCTCCCCCAGCTCACCAGTCCATTGCTAACCCATGAGGCTCACTCTCACGGATGGCGTTGGCGGCCAGGAGCTTTGATGCGGTCCCTATTCGGATCACTGGCAGAAACGGCTTGTGAGGGCTGGGTTGAAGGCAGTTTCGGGGGCACTCTCAGAAAGCTGCGTTTTGGGTTGTGGTGGGTTAAAAGCAGAGGCTCAGCTGATGGCCTCTAAGGCGCACGGCCCTGTCGTTACAGATGAAAAAACCCAGGCGTTCATGGAAGCTCTGCTGCGTCAGAGCCGCTGCGTGGCGGAGGCAGACTGAGCGGAAGGAAGAGGAGTGGAAGATGAGGTCTGGGAGGGGACGGGAGCCAGCTCAGGCAGGGCCATCGCAGCCATGTTCAAGTCTCTGTCTCACAGGTCAGCTCCACAGCGTAGCTGTTGGGCACTGCACGGAGGACCAGACCCGCAGGGCCACCAGGGGTCCAGTCCTGGCTTGTTGACGGAAAAAACACACCCATGAGTGTGTTCCCAGGATCTTGATAGGATGGAGAATCGAAGGAAAAAGGACTGTGCAGTGAGCAGGCCTTGTTTGGGGGTGTGTGTGGGTGGAGTCTCCCTCTTTCTCTGTATAGCATACATCAAAAACAAAACAACACTTTGCCTTTTACTCTGGGCCATGCAGGATTTCGGGCAGAGAAGTGTCGTCACATGGCATACGTTCCCAGGGACACTCTGCCGCAGCGGTGAGGACAGACTGTACAGAGCAGGGGTGGAGGCAGGGAGTCAGTGAGGAGGGTCTGCAGTGGTCCCGGTGACGGAGGATGGTGGCTCCCATCAAGGCGGCAGGATGGCGAGGAATGAGAAGCGGTCAGATCCTGGGTGTTTTTAAAAAGCGGGGCTAACAGATTTTCTGATGGGCTGGATGTAAGAAGTGAGATAAAAAGAGAAGTCAAGGATGATGCCAATGTTTTGGCTCGAGCAACGGGAAGGCTGGAGTCATCGCCAACAGAGACGGGGACGGCTGTGCGTGGAGAAGGCTTGGGGGAGGGCGCTCAGTCTGTGACACGCGGAGTGGGAGATGGCTGGCAACCGTGCAAGGGGGACGTGTGGCACAGGCTGCCGGACACGTGCCCGCAGCCCCGGGGAGGCTGGAGACAGGTTTGGAGTGTCGTGTGCACATGTGATGTTTAAGGAAAGGCTCATGACTGGATGAGGTCATCGGGAGCGCAGACAGGAAAGACAAGAGTCAGGGACTCCGCCTGGGCACCCCGGCATTGAGAAGCCAGAAAGAACAGAGACCAAAAAGGACGGACAGGCGAGGAAGAAGGGAAACCAGGAACAAGCGGAGGCTGAGAAGCCAAGCGGGTGGAGTACTCCAGGGAGAATGGTCGTTAGGTCAAACGCCGCTGACAGGTGAAGCCGGGTGAGGGCTGAGAACTGACTGTTGGATTTAGGTATTTGCGAACACTGGTGACCTTGATGGGAGCAAGCACGTGACTCCTGACCTCATGGAGCCACCCGGTGTCACTCCTGCTTGTCATTTAGGACTCCCTTACTGTGAGCCCTGTCTTCTCAGTTAGGTTATAACGCGTGTGCACAGAGCGCTGGGTCCAGGTGGGTTGCAGGGCCTTACACAGACTGCTAACAGGCTTGGCTAGCTGGCCCACCTGAACGACCCGACCCCCGGAGCACTGGCCTAGAGCCACTATCCTTACGCTTGGCTTACCTTGGACGCAGAATTTCAGTTCCTTGGGGTCAGTGACACCCTTCCTGCTTTCCCGGATCACAGCCCGGTTCTTCTTGGTTTCTCCCCAGAGGTTGGTGCCTCCGTACATGCTGGGAATGTTGAGAATGGCAATGCCTTCAAGGAAGATGTTGCTCAGGTCCACCCCAACCCCGTCACACTGCGGGATAGAGAGAAAAAGCCATCTGTTAGTGTTCCTAATATATCGCAATATCACACCCACGGTGCAGTGAGTGCACGCGCACACGTGTGCATCTGTGTGTGGTGGAGAGCTCTCTTAGAGGGTGTGACAGGCCCTCAGTCACCACCCTGCCACTGTCAGAAACTGAACGTTGGGCACAGCTGCTCAGGCTTGACGCTTTGGTCGCCGTGGTGGGCAGGAGAGCGCTAGTCCTGGTCAGCTGTGGGAAAGACAGCACAGGCTCCAGGGACCAGCTTTAGGTCTAGACACGCTGTAGAGCTGCTTCCTGAGTCAAATGCAGAGCTGGTCCCCAGCCCAGCCTCAGGATCCCAAGCTGACCTCTCTTACAGTGGGGGAGCCTGAATCTAGAACCAAGCACAGAGTAGGTGCTCAAAAAGTGACAGGAAATTGTAATGTTTGCCCCTTCTTATTTTATCCCTCCTTGTGAGAAGCACAAGACTAAGATCTGGAAGGCTTTCCGAATTTGCCTGTCTCCCCTGTCTGCAGCGTAAGTGCAATTTTGGCACATGCGCTTGCTGATGTAGCAGCGTTTCTTTATCCAGCCTCCACCCCCACAGCCTCTGCCAGGTACAAAAGGCCAGAAGGCTTGAATTCGTGTGCTTCACCTATCTTAGTCAGCCTGCTTTAGCTTGACGCTCACTCACGTGGCCAGGACTACATTAGCTCTGTCCTTGTTCCCCAGGATTGTAGCTCATTTACTGTGTTTACAGAAGACGACGCGGAGCCCAGAGAGGTGAGCTATGTTATCCAAGACTGCACAGCTGAGAAGTAGCAGAGCAGGGATTCAAACTTGGGGGCCTTCACGACAAAGTCCATGCTCTTTGTCTTGCTTCTTGTGGAAGGAAACAATCCACAGCATGTGATAAAAACACACTACCCTTGGGAACCAGCAGTTAGCGTAATGGCTATGTCGCTGGACTCCCACGTAGTCGACCACGGTTCGTGTCCCGGACCCGGTGGCTTAAAACTCACGCCGGGCACGTGTGTGGCGTGCCCAAGATCCCGAGAGGAGAATGGAGAAGGGATTGCGGTGTGACCATCCCCCCTGGGGGGTGATTTCTCGCTTTCTGTCTCTATGTCTCTCTCTGTCGGTCTGGCGAGTGCACGCGCCCTACAGTGAAAATCTCTCAAAAAAAAAAAAAAAACACACTACCCTCGAGGTGATCTACCATACAAAGCCAAACTTCCAGAGACTTCTCTGCAGAGGAGGGATGGAAAGGTAGGGCTCGTTGCCATTCTTACTGATTCACCTGCCGATTTCTCGGACGTCCTTAATGTTGTCTTCTCATCCCCAGGCCTTGTTTCACAGCTACGGAATGGAATAGTGTGGGTTTCTGTGGTAACTGGGAATTCACTTCTTCATTAGGAAATTCTGATCATTTGTACGTTCTCTTCATATTGACCCAGATTCTCTCTTCTCACTGACACCCGCTGGTGCTGTCATCCTCTCTGAAGCCAGACAGAGTGACCTTCAGTTTTTCTCCATGGGCCACCCGGCAGAGACACACGATGGTTGTCATCTTCACTGTCATACGGATTAAGCATTGCCATCTACTGCGTAATGTTTAACACACATTTCATTTAGTGCCTCATAATAACCTTTAAAGTTGTTTTAGAATTATTTAGTTAAACTAATTATTATTATTATTATTTTAATTTGACCACAGAGAGGGAGGAAGGGAAATTGAGAAAGCAAGCCACCAGGTCCAAGGCTTGAACTGTGGTCAACCACGTGGGAGTCAGGCACCTTAACTACCATGCCACCTGCAGCCCCCCATAACAATCTTTTAAGTTAGTTACTATGACTACCCCCCTCTGTACGTTTGGGGAAGCAGAGGAGGTTGAGTAACATGCCCAAAGCCACGTACCTGCAGGCACAGGTACACAGATTTGATGGCAGAATGCTTAGCACCCCTTTATTTCTCTTCCCTCTCACACCCCCATTGGCTGTGCCACCTCTGGGTTGAGCACTGTCCACTCACTAATCCTCTCCCGTGAGGCTGGCTTTCAGACCTCTCCCCACGCTGGCTCTCCTGTTTGCACAGAATCCACCTTGTTACTGTCCCCCTTGGTGAGGCTGCCAGTGTTAAGAACAGCACTAACAACAGGATCTGATGGGGCAGGAGGCATGGAAGCCAGTGCCTCCTGGGGCTGGAATTCTATGACGCTATCGGGCCCCAGACATGAGGTAACATGCGAAGCCCATGTATGAGCTCAGCACGTTGCCTGTCCCCATCATCCTCACTGTCGAACATGATCAAAGTGGCACCAGCCCTTGACCAGCTGCTAGGTCACAGCGTCGCTTCGGCTCGTCCCAGTCACATAGCCCTTCGTCCACGGTCTCCTGCTCTGCCAGCTCTTCCCGGTCCTGAACTTGGGTAGGCTTTTTCTTTCTAAGAAGAACTTGGACATAGGGTTTGGATTTATTTAAGCAATTTGAGCTGACTTTCAGCCCAAGCTTCCTCCAATCCATCGGCTTATTTTATTCTACTTTCATTGGCTTATTTTAAATCTTTATTCTGTGACCCTTCATTATAGCCACCCCATGGTTTGGGGATTAAGTCCCTGGTACATGTGTATAAAGGACGAAAACAATGACGAGGCCCTCTCCGTGGTCAGCCGTCAGACGCCAGGTCCTCCGGAGATGAAGAGTCAATGAGGCACATTGGATATTTTGCTGTTAGACTTAAAGCACAATTAAACTTCCAGCTGTTGTTTGAATAATCCAAACCTCCTGCCCCTGCTCTGTCTGCGGAGGGCTGAGAGTCCCTGGCACCTGACCGGTAGTACTAATCTATCTTGCCTGTGCCAGGTTTGAAAAAGAAAAGCATACCACCAGCATAGGCCATTCCACCAAAGGCATCCTTCCTCCGGCCGCGGTCTGAAGTGCACTCTACTCCCTCCCCTCTAGCCATGACCAACTAGGAGAGTTAGCTAGTAACTTGGTAAGCTGATTTCTCCCTGGAAGAGCAGACCGTCCTTTCTGCTTTTGGAGAGATCGTCCCCTTGCCCTGTCTCACTGGGTCCCACTCAGGTGGGACAAACGGAATAGAGGATGTGGGCGGAGCCAGGTCTGCTGGCTGTTGAGGCCCCGCCCTTAGAACGCCCCTCCTCAAAGCAATTTAGGGTTTTGTAAGGAGCACGTTTGGGATTGGGCACGGAGAGACATGTGTTTAAATCTTGGCTCTGTCACTTGACAGTTGTGAGATCGCGGTTGGTTCCTTAGCCTCCACCTGTAACTGGAGGTGGGGGTCTAGCGTCTACCTCGGGCTGGGTCTCTGGAAGGCAGGAGCACGCCCAAAGTGTCTGCAGCTTTAGCTCAGTTTCTCCTGCTGCGGTGCCGAGGCCTGTTTCTCCCTGAAGTCACTCCGTCACCACCTGAGCCTCGACTGGTAGCATTTCAGTGGCCTGCAGGCTGCCCCATGTCGGTGAGCGCCCTGCCAACCCACACCTGAGTGTCCCTTCTCAGTTCCAGCCACCACACCCTCCCCTCCGTCAGAACCCGGGCCCAGCGGGGTCTGGGGAGGTGGCAGCTGCAGCCGAGCGGGAAAGTGGAGCAGAGCGCAGCACCGGCCGGCCTAAATGGAGCTGGGCCCCGCGGCCGGCGGCCGGCTCCCCGCGGGCTCCCGGGCCGCGTCCTGCGACTGTTCCATGACGTCACGCGCCCCCTCCCCAGGCGCCCCCTGCGGGCTGCCCCGCCGACGGCCACGAGCGCCGCGGGCT